GCGGCGGGCGAGGCAATCCTGAGTTGGGAGGGGAGGACTCTGCGCTTTGCCCTCGACGTCCGGGTCCCGAAACGCCAGCACATGGAAATTTAAAGAATTTAAAGCCTAAAAGGGGGCCGTTGGGTCTTCCTGCATTTTGTTAAAGATTTTCGCGTCCGTATTCCTAAGAAATGTTAGCGGTTTTCTCGTTAGGTGTTTGTCTGGTTTTAGTGTGTAAGGACAATGGTGGCTTCAGAAGGATTTGAAATGTTCTTCAGTTTCTTCGGAAGAGTTTGAGGAGTGACGTTCATTGTTTAGAAATTTGATGGGATTCACCAATAAGGCCATCAGGTCCAGAGTTTTTGTCAGGCAGGTTTTTGAATATTGACTCAATTTCCTTATTCGTAATGGGTTTATTCTGATTTTTTATTTCTTTGTGATTCGGTCTTAAGTTTACTGTTCCTAGAAATTTCTAGGCTAGCCCATTTATTGACGTAAAGTTGTTCACAGTACTTTTTGTAGTCTTTATTTTTGTGGAATCGGTAGTAATGTCCTTATTTTTATTTCTGAAACAATTAGTAATTTCAAATCTGGTTTAGTAATTTCCCTGTTTTTATTTACCAATCTAGCTAAAGTTTTGTTAATTTTTTCAAAGAACCAACTTTTGTCGATTTTTTGTTTTCCTAGTTATTTTAATTATGCTCTTAACCTTTTTTTTCTGGTAGCTTTGAGTTTAGTTCTTTTTCTAATTCAGAAATTGTAAAGTTGGGTTTTTGATTTGAGGTGTTTCTTTTTTAATACGTTCGCAGCTATAAATTTCTCCTAGCACTGCTTTTGCTGCATCTCACAAATTTTGGTATGTTGTTTTCTAATTTGTGATTTTTTCTTTGGCCCATTGGTTGTTTAAGACCTGTCTTTTTTCGGATGATTTTTACACTTTCATTTTGCTCCTTTCACCTTCAGAATTAATGGTTTGCATTTTCTATAGGTCTAACAATTTTTAAATTCAAAGCATCCTTGCAAGGCAGGAGGTTTAAGTCTCCATTTTCTATATTCTGAAACTTTAAAAGAGATTGTTAATACACACAAGCTAGGCTGAATTCTTACTCTTCCAACAGTTGGGGCAGGGCTCCAGAGAATTGGTTTCTGTCCCCTCTTAATAAAATTCATTTTAGGTAGTAGAATGGGATCTTCATGGTGTTTCTTTTTTAAAAACTTTTCCCCTAGGTGTATTGAGATACAACTGACAGCACTGTATAAGTTTAAGGTATAGGGTGTAATGATTTAACAGACATATATTATGAAACGAGTACCATGATAAGTTTAGTTATCCATTTAATACAGATAAAAAAAAATTTTTAATTGTTTTCTCCTTCTGATGAGAATTCTTAGGATCTTAACAATTCTTAACCACTTTCAAATGTACCACACAGTGGCGTTAACTGTAGTCATCTTGTGCATTACATCCCTGGTACCTGTTTATCTTCTACCTGGGAGTTCCTACCTTTTGATCACCTACCTCCAGTTCCCCTTCCCCTAACCCCGGCGTCTGGTACCATGAGTCTGATGATGTCTTTTTTTTGTTTGTTTCGTTTTAGATTCTACATATAAGTGAAATCATATGATATTCGGGGGGTTTTTTTTTTTGGTCTGATTTATTTCACTTAATGCTCTCAAGGTTCATCCATGTTATTGCAAATGTCATAATTTTCTTTTTTATGGTTGAATGATAGTTCATTGTATACATGTACTACATCTTCTTTATAAATTCCATGGACACTTAGGTTGTTTCCATGTCTTGGCTATTGTAAATAATGCTGCTGTGAACATGGGGGGCGTGCAGATATCTCTTCGACGTAGTGTTTTCATTTCTTTTGGATCTATTCCTAGAAGTGGAATTGATGGATCATATGGTAATTCTATTTTTAATTTTTTGAGGGTCTTCCATACTGTTTTCCATAGTGGCTGCACTAATGTACATCCCCACCAACAGTGAACAAGGGTTCTTTTTTCTCCACGTTCTCACCAACACTTATCTTTTTCATGATAGCCATTCTAACAGGTATGAGGTGATATCTTCCTGTTGTTTCAATTTGAATTTCCCTGATGATTAGTGATATTGAGCACCTTTTCATTTACTTGTTGGCCATTTGAATATCTTCTTTGGGAAAATGTCTATTCAGGTCCTTTGACCATTTTTAATTGTTTTTTTTTTTTTTTGCTGTTGTATGAGTATATTTTTTTTTTGGATATTAATCCCTTAGAGATATGGTTTGCAAATATTTTTCCCATATGGTAGATTGTCTTTTTCATTTTGTTGATGATTTCCTTTGCTGTGCAGAAGTTTTAGTTTGGTGTAGTCCCATTTGTTTATTTTTATTTTGTTACTTGAGCTATAGGTGACATATCCAAAAAAATCATTACAGAGATCTATGCCAAGGAGCTTTTTTCTGTTTTCTCCTAGGAATTTAATGGTTTCCAGACTTACCTTTAATTCTTAATTCATTTCAAGTTAATTTCTGCAAGTATTGTAAGATAAGGGTTTAGTTTCATTTATTTACACATGAATATTCAATTTTCTCAGCACCGTTTATTAAAAGGACTATTTCTCCATTGAGTATCCTTGGTTCCCTTGTCAAATATTAGTTGACCATATTTGCATGGGTTTGTTTCTATTTCATGGTCTTTATGATTAACGATATCACAAATGCATTCAAGCGTGGAAAAATGTTTAAGTGTTTACGGGGTCATCAGGTAAACTTGCCCCAAGTACCTAGGTGCTCCATTGATAGAAGGAGACTGGCCTTGGAGGTCTCGCTTTCCACAGGAAGAGAGGCTATGAGGTTACTGGGCCTTAAAGTATCTTTGAAAGCTGCGAGCTTGGGAGGCAGTGGCCCTGCATCCCTTTCCTTTGTCTGGATTCTTCCAGGGCTGGAAGTAATGACTGGTGCTTCTAGTCTGAGGAGACCATGCGCTGAAAAAAGCCTTCTCATGCACCGTGTCCCTTACTTATGAGAATGACCTATGCCATGTCTGTTTTTCAGCCACCCCACATCATGCAGCAGTGGTGCTGAGATCATGTCTGTGCTGTTCTTCTACGTCATGAGATATAAACAAGCAGAGCCAGAGAACCCAGACAATGATCGATTCATCCTCTCCAAGGTAAGCTGGCATGGGAGCCCAGAGCCTGCTCAGAAGCTTACTTCTTAAACTTGTTTTTAAAGCCACCATGTGGCAACAAGGCCTGAAATGGGCTCTGTTTATCCTTTTGGTTCTTTCTTTGTCTCACATCTTAGTTCATTCATGCTGCTGTAACAAAATACCGTGGACTGGATGGTTTATAAACAATAGAAATTTATTTTTCACAGCCTTGGAGATGAAGTCCAAAATCAAGGCACCAGCATGGTCATGTTCTAGTGAGGGCCTTCTACCTGGCCACAGACTTCTCATTGTATTCTCACATAGCAGAAGTGTTCTCTCTAGGATTTCTTTTATAAGGACACGAATCCCATACTTGAAGGTTCTGTTCTCATGATCTAAGCACCACCCAAAGGCCTCATCTCCTTATAGTATCTCCTTGGGCATTAAATTTTCAACATGGATTTGGGAGGGAGGGCACAAACATTCAGACCATCACACCCTATAAAGGTCTAAAGGGCGTTCTAGTGAGGACTGCGTGGTGGGAAGGATGACTTGTGGCAACTGGCTGCCCTTCCTTTCCTTTGATGGTGCCCCTCCTCACATCAGCTAGCACTAAAGCCCCCCAGGCAGAGTCATGATGTCCCCATCCTCTGCCACCTGGACAGAGGTGGGCAACATCAGCAGATCCAACTTCCTAAGCTCAAAGAAAATTGATTGAATTTGGAGGGACATTCCACCCCTGTCCGTCATCTTTCTCTTCTATTTCTGCAGCTATGACTTAACACCAATGGGGGACTTTCTCATTAGACTAGATATAGTGCCAGGTACCTCATGACATTGGGGGACAGGAAAGAAAAGGGGTGTTAAAAGCAAGGTCAATGTAGAAGGCTGGAGTTCTTTTAATGTTATCCGAAAGTTTGCTGCGTCTTTATCAAATCATTCAAAACTCAGTTTATAGAGCACCAGGTAAAAACAACCCTCAGATGTGGGCAGCAGGAAGTAGTTTAAAGACAAAGTCAGAATAGGGATCAGGCCAAAGTATCTGGGGTTGTAGTTATGACTCATCTTGGTATCTGAAACATAATCTCGAACAAGGTTTGGTGGAAGATAAGTAAAATGTGTAGAAAGAGATGAAGCAAAAGTGGTTCATTAGTAACAGTTGGCGAATCTAGGTGAAGAGCACATGGGACTCCATTGTACTCTTCTTCCAGCTTCTCTACAAACTAGAACTTCCTTGAAAATAAACATCAAACAAATAGGGGTGTACAGAGACAGTATGAGTGTTCAGGTCTCCACTTTAGAAAAAGGAAAGGTGCTTAGACTACTCCATTTCCACTGCTAGCCCATCAGATGTTTGGAATAATTGGCCTTAGAGGAATAAAGATGCTTTCTGGTGTGCAGTAGCAGGCTGGGCACTGTTTCAGCTGCCAGAATTTGTGTTCATCAGATTTAAGCAGCAGTTAAAATTGGAAGAAAAGAGAAAACACAAGAATGTGGTCCACTTTGGCTCTGGCTGGGAATGGTGTAAACGGACCCACTACAGGTAGAGGAGCCCAGGGTTCACATGATCAGTGTTCCCAGGACACGAGTGTCTAACGCAGACAACTTCATTAGAGGGCTAACTTTTGAAGTCTGGCAGTGTCATTGTAAGGTGCTTGGTTTCCCTTAGAGCCCTCACGATGCTGAAGGCTGGGGAGGGGGGTTTGCAATGCCCCCACACCACCCCCAGACATTTGTGTTTATCAGTACATTTGTTTTCTCCAGCCAAGGTGGCCTGCAAAGTAACCAGAAGACTTTTCTGTAAGCTTGTTTTTGAAGTGCTCTTTGTGCTGGAACAAAGATGACAACGTGAAAAAGAAATCTTTCTTTTCTAGGTGCATGTAGCACGTCATACACATCTTTATTCTAGCTTTTGGCCACTTTCAATTGTGAGTGTCTCCCTCCATAGCATAAGGGTTCTTGGAGAAGAGAAAGGAACCCATGTAGGAACACTTCCGCCATGCCAGCATCATGCTTGTGCCCCCACCAGTCTTCTCAATTCTACAGCCTCCTGATGCCTGAGTGAAGCTTTGAGGAGGTGATTTCACTTGCCTCACTTTAAAGCCAGGGAGAAGCAAAGTTGGTCTGAGTGCCCAGACAGTCCAAGGGCATGCAAGGCAACTGGGAGCCAGAATTTGTTCCAGGAGTAAGGTAGGAGCCATAGGGAGGAGGATGGAGCTAAAGGTGTCATTAGAGACTTGAGTGGGATAGGTATGTGGGGGAGATGCAAAATGGAGGGGGAGTCTGGGGGCCCAAAGCTGTGGAGAACGGGAAGGTCAAGAGCCCTGGGAGGAGCAGAGGAATTAGGTGGAGAAGGAAAGGAGAGGAACCTGAGACTGACAAGTACTCATCTGTGGTAGTGACAGCACACACCAATCTCTGCTTGAATGGAGAAGGAGACAGACAAGAAACCTGTTAATAGATAGCTAGCATTTCAGATGAGGCTGAGTATCCTGGATCCAAGAGAAGTAGAAGGGTAGGGGGTAGTAATTGAAAGAGATGGTCCAGGAAGGCCTTGATGCTGACATTCAAGCAGAGATTTGGAAGGGGTGAGGAAATGAGTTGTGTACCTATTTAGGCACAAGCACTGAGTACTTGGGAAAGAGCCGCAAGTGCTAAGGCCCTGAGGTAGGTCTGTACCCAGTGCATTCAAGGGGCAGCAAGGAGGCCAGTGCACCCAGAGTGGTGGGGGGTGGGAGGATAAAAGGTGATGGAGGCCAGCGTGGACAGGTCGGTGTGAGAACTTGGGCTCTACTTGGCACAAGATGATGAGACCTTGGACAGTTCTAGGCAGAGAGCTATGAGTGGACTTAGGTTTTAACAGGCTGCCCTGGTAGCTGTGCTGAGAATGGCTATGGAGGAGCAGGGAGGCCACTGCAGTGATGGAAGGGAGACATGTTTGTGGCCAGACCAAGATGGTGGCAGTAGAAGTGATGAATAAGTTCAGTGTATCTTAAGATCCTGTATTCTCCAAAAAGATGAACATTTGGTTTGTGTGTTGATGGATGGCAAGGCGCATGCTTAGGTTTTTTGCTTTGCTCTTGTGCTCTGTTTAGGCTGCCACGTGGAGGAAAAAATCTCTACGTTCCCAAAGCTCCAGTCACCCTTGCAACATTGCATTTATTACCTATGGCTCCCCTGACTGTGATGTTGATCTGAGTGTAATGAAGAGGAAGTCACTCCACAGGATGGGAGGAGGGGCCACTCTGAGGAGCTGCCTATGCTTGGTGCCAGAAGTTGGCCTGACACTCAACTTCCTGATACCCATGTTCTACAGATGCACCTAGGTTCATTTGGTCCTTTCTCTTACAGAGACTGTCATTTGTTGATGTGGCAACCGGATGGCTTGGACAAGGACTCGGAGCTGCATGTGGAATGGCGTATACTGGCAAGTACTTTGACAGGGCCAGGTAAGGCACATCCCCAGAAACCACTTAACTGTTCCCACCCTACTCCCCAGGCACTTTGGCTTTATTTATAGCTCATTAGTTTGGGAAGACAGTGATTGTTTTGAAAGTTCAGGTTACCAAGCGTTCAAACAGTAAAGAAATTGCACTTCTGGAAACTGTTCTAGCATCTCTGGTGGGGTTCTAAGTGTCTCTGGTTGGGTTCAAAGTGCTGCCTGCAGTATGAAAACCAGTTCATCAAGACTCTAGTCTTTCCTGAGAGAGACATCTTTCTGTTTTCCATCTCTTACTGAGCTTTACTACAGAATGAGCAGGTGGCACATTTGCCTTTGCATTAAGGACCCCTAAATGTTAATCAAAGGTCTTTTTCTCTGGGGTGGTTCCACCTTTCTGAAGACAGGTAGATCAGTGCCTTTCTTGCAGAGGCATGTGCCCAGCTGATGGTGATAGGGGAGCAAGGTGGGGGCAGGTGACAGGACGAGGGCAGGGTTCGTCATGGTAGTGTGCATGTTCTACTCCCGTGACTACCCTGGTGTGCCTGAGTCCAGAGCCCTTCAGTCCCCAGTTTGAGCCTAGGTGGCCTCTCTGGAGGCAATTCGTGCTTCCTCCACTAAGGCAGCTGCCTCACTCCATTTCCCGTAAGTCAGTTAACATTTTTTACTGCTCGTTATTGCCTCTATTAGTCCCTATTCTGCAGTTAATCACTTTTTTAAACTTCACTTACAGCATTTTTGTGGGGTCTGCATTGTTTTATTGGTGTGTGTCATGTTTCTGCTGCGGAGGAATTAACTATTTACAACAGAACATAATGCTCTTGAGGTAGAATGTTTTGATTGTTATGATTATTGTAAATTTGTAAGATCAGAAGTAGGTGGCAGTGCTTAAAATGGAGCTTACCAAGAAACTGTATATGATGTAAATGTTTGGGTGTTTAAGGGAGCTGCTTTCTCCCTATCACCTCTTGTTTGTTGAACCCAGAGAAGTGGCATAGCCTTTACAGATGGGATGAGAAAACTAGTGAAAGGTGGAGCCCATCTTATGAGACCCAAGGTTTTTTAAAATTATTTTTCAATCACAATTGACATACAATATTGTATTAGTTTCAGATGTATAACATAGTGATTAAACTTCTCTGTAACTTACTAAGTGATCACTCTGGTAAGTCCAGTACCCATTAGATACCATACATAGTTAATACAGTATTGACTATATTCCCTATGCTGTACTCTCCATCCCTGCGACTGTTTTCTAAGTACCAATTTGTACTTAATCTCTTCCCCTTTTTGATTCAACCTCCCAAACCCCCTCCCATCTGGCAACCATCAGTTTGTTCTCTTTATGAGTCTGTTTCTGTTTTATTCATTTGTTTTTTTGGATTCCACATATAAGTGAAATCGTATGATACTTATCTTTGTCTGACTTATTTCTCTTAACAATATTCTCTAGATCCATCCATGTTGTTGCAGATGGCAAGACTTCATTCCTTTTTATGGCTGAGTAATTTTCCATTGTATATATGTACCAGCTCTTCTTTATTCATTTAGTCATTGATGACACCCAGGTTGCCTCCATATTTTGGCTATTGTAAATAATGCTACAGCAAACAATAGGGATGCATATGTTTTTTCAAATTAGGGTTTTGGGTTTTTTCGGATAAATACCCAGAAGTGAAATTGCTGGATCCTTCTTTGTTTCTTATAGCCTTTGTTTTAAAGTATTTTGTCTGATATGTATTGTTATCCCAGCTTTTTTGTTTGTTTTCATTTGCATGAAATATCTTTTTCCATCCATTTACCTTTGGTCTGTGTGTGTCTCATCTAAAGTGAGTCTCTTGTAGACAGCATATAGGGTTTTTTTTTAAGATTTTTTTCTTCTCCATTCAGACACCTATGTCTTTTAATTGGAGCACGTAATCCATTTATATTTAAAGTAATTATTGTAGTTATTGCTTTTTTCTTATTCATATTTTTGCTGCTGTTGCTTCTTCAAAAAGTCCCTTTAACATTTCTTGTAATACTGGTTCGGTGGTGATGAGCTCCTTTAGCCTTTTTTTTGAGGGGGGGGTCTTTTTTTTAAACACACTTTAAAAGTTGTGTTTCCTCAATGTTGAGTTTGGACAGGGTGAGGAAAACGGTCTTAGGAACCTGATGCTCTCAAGCAGCCACATCAGTCTGTTCCTTTGTTTCTCTCCATGAAACATATTTGCTCAAGTGGCTCCAAAGAACCCCATGAGGGGTACTAACCTTGTCTTGGCTTGCCCCAGCTACCGGGTGTACTGCCTCGTGGGAGATGGTGAGTCTTCAGAAGGCTCTGTCTGGGAAGCGTTGGCCTTCGCTTCCCACTACAGTCTGGACAACCTTGTGGCCATCTTCGATGTGAACCGCGTAGGCCACAGTGGCGTCTTGCCCCTTGAGAACTGCATAGACGTCTATCAGAAGCGCTGTGAAGCCTTTGGGTAACTATGTCCTATTTTATGTCATCAATTTCTGCCCCATCTCCTCTTCGTCTTATAACTGGGTCTCCTTCTTGGTTGGCAGGTGGAATACTTACGTGGTGGATGGCCGTGATGTAGAGGCACTGTGTCAAGTGTTCTGGCAAGCCACTCAAGTGAAGAACAAGCCCACAGCTATAGTTGCCAAGACTTTCAAGGGCCGGGGCACTCCAAGTAAACAAGTGTTTTGGTTTTTTTCCCGCCTGGGGTTATTAAAAACATTTGCCTTGCACAAAAGACAAGGCAGAGGGAGGCTCAGGCTGGCTGGGCAGACAGACTCAGTGCACAGTGACCATGCCTGAAATATGTGCTGGAGGCTCTTTCTCTCTTTGGCTTTGATAGATAGAATGTCTGGTTACAGTCGGGGGGAAGCTCAGACCCCCAGCAAGTGAGCAGTGGTTTTCTGCCTGCATGGTAGTGGTGGCTAGGGGGATAGTCCATCAGTTAGAGGACTGGCAGGAAATAATTTCCACGGGAGTGCAGAGTAAGAAAGTGCTGCTACGTGTAGGAGCAGATAGGAAATAAGGGTGTATACACACACACACTTGCCTATGCCTACATTATTAGGGAGAACATGCAGGCAACTAGTAAAGCAGTACCTGCAGGAAAGGTAGCTGGGGAACTGAGGGCCTGGGGAAGGAGGGGGTTTTGAAAGTCTTAACTTGCAGATTTCAAAGCTGACACAAGAGATGTGATTCCTGTTGTGTTATTAATGTCGACATTTTAGAATAAAACTTTTGTGACTCCTCCCCAAAATAGTTTTACCCCGGTACTCCCCAGTTCAGGAAATGAGCCCTTGACCCATTTGCTCCTGGCAGAAACCTGAAAATCATCCTTGCCTCTCCCTTTTATGCCTCCTATACGTGTACCGAGTCCATTATCAGTTCTAACTGATTCTGCCTTGAAAGTATATCTCAGATCTGTTCAATGCTCTCCATCTCTCCCACCCAGACTCCTGCCATCTCTAACTGCACTCTCCACAAGCCAGTACCCACAGGGCTACCGCGGTGATCTTTTTACAACAGGGAACTGATCAGTCACGTCCCACACCCCAACCCTTCAGTGGTTTCCCATTTTGCTTTGGATAAAACTCCTTATACCCATGGGATCCTACATGGTCTGCCCTGCCTTTCTCTTCCGCCTCATCTCCCTCTATTCACCAGCACATGAGCCAGTGGGCCTTTGTCCAGGCTTTTCTCTGGGAGTGCAATTCCATTTCAGGCTCCCTCTGAGTCCTCAGCTGACATCTTTTCCATCAGGATGTCTTTCGAATGACCTGATAGGCGCTCATTAAATATTTATGGTCAAACGTCTTTAATTTCTTTGATTGCAGGTGTCGAAGATGCAGAAAGTTGGCATGGAAAGCCAATGCCAAAGGAAAGAGCAGATGCAATTATCAAACTGATTGAGAGCCAGATACAGACCACCAGGAATCTCGAACCAAAACCCCCTATTGAAGACTCACCTCAGATCAACATCACGGACATAGAGATGGCCTCTCCACCAGCTTACGAAGTCGGTGACAGGGTAGGCAAACAGCTTTGTTCTTTGCTTTTCTTCCTAAATCCACAGGACTCTTCATTTACTCTGATCTGATCTCCACAGATAAACCAATTATTAGATGGCATGACATTTAACTAATGGTTATAAGCAATAAAAATGGGTTTACTTTGGGAGCATTTGAGATATTGCTCTCTAGCATATGTCCTCAGTTTTGGCTCAGATAAACTCAAATAAAAATTCAAAAAATGGGTTTACCTTTTCTTTTACTATCTCTAATGTTTATCATTTGATTTCAAACTTAGGTCTGAATTTTCTTATTAGTCAATTGCTACTTATTAGCACTCAGTGCTGTGTAGCTTTTGCTTGCTTCCAAAATTCAGTTTGCAGTTCTGCAGTCTACTGTGCATAAAACAATTCTATGTCTGCTCTAAGGATGGGGACCTGGCTAAGCCAATCTTTTGAACTTATTCCCTGGATTACTCAAGGAAGTGGGCCAATTCATCAAAGACCAGTTTTTCAGAAAGGGAACAAATTAGGCATGAAATCTTGAACATAAAGCCTTTTCATTTTTTTTTATCATTTTTTTATAGCCTGCCTTCTGGTATATTATTAATTACAACACACCCAAAATAGGCATGGTCTTCTGGATATAAAGAAACGAGGTGGCAATCCTAGGAGGAAGGAAATACTTTCTGGCCTTCCGTTATTTTCCTTATTTATTTGGGGACGTTCTGAGTGTTGCTTTTGTTTCCTCAGGCAGGTAATGTGGATTAAAATTGTGATACAGGTTAAAAATGAATTGACTACTTAAGAAATGAGAAAACAAAAAGCGGAAGAAAGTTAATAAGGAAGAAGTGCACATTAATGAAGGGTGATTTGGCAATATGTGTTAACGCTTCATCTGTTCACAGCCTCAAAAGTAGCAGTGCAGCTCAGAAATTTATCCTACAGAAATACCTGTGCAAAATTGGAAATGACCCAGCAAAAAGAAAAAGCTAAGGGCATGCCCAAATTACTTTTTTTCCAAATTATTATTAAACGTTTTTGAAGTTGCAAAGCAGTGTAGAGTATAATTCTATTTTCATGTGGAAAATCTTAAAAGGGGGCATCATATATTAAAAGGCATTAAAAAGGATATTTGGAGAAATAACAGCAAATTAAAGTGATATTTCTGTGTGAAAGGTGAAATTATGGGAACTTTTCATTTTTTGAAAGACATATTTTATGAATAGGAAATAAAAGTTGGCTCGCTGAATTACTAATATAGTAGACAAGTCATTAGCTAGTTTACTTAAAAAGTTTATATATATGTATAAAATTATAAGAAGAGGTAATCAGATGTAGAGAACATTCAGAAAATTACGAGAAAACTATTCAATTCTAGTAATCGATATGAAAACCTGTAAAAAATGGACCATTTTAAGAATACATAAAATACCAGAATTGAGTTTAAAAGATTAAAAAAAAACACTTAAGTAGATAAACAGCCATAGAAAAATACCAATCTTAACTTCATTAGTATATTAAAAGAAGTATACAAAGTAGTGAAGTTCAAATTCGTAATGTGCATGATTCATCTGTAATTGGGAGGGGGGATTTTGATACATGGAAACAAAAGCAGTTCATAAAATTCATTCCTGTTTTGTTTTTTTTTTAAGTAACCTCTTACTAAAAGTAGGACAATCTAGGTATCTTAAATCTGGAACCCTATTTATACCTAATGTAAAAATATCTCATTAACCTGGCAGAGATTAAGCCCCACTCTGGAAGTGCCAGCCAATGCAGTTAAATAACAGTCTAAAAAACTGAGTCCTGCCAAGAAGCAGGCAAGCCTATCAGCATTTGCAGGTGATAGAATTGTAAATCTGGAAAACTGAAGAGAATCAACCAGACATGGTTAGAAGTAAGAAGAGTCCAGTAAGAGAGCTTGTAGCAAAACTGATCTACAAGGATTAATTCCTTTCTTATATTAACAAAATGGAGAGATGATCTCATTAATAATGGCAATAAAACTTTAAAAAACAAAAAATTTATATGAGATCTACATATTAAGATGCTTTTAAAATTATAGCCCTAAAAGAAGCTCCCCTGCCTTGTACGTACAACATGCTCACCCAGTATTTCTGTGTAGACCATTCCTGAAAGGTTGCTGCGTGGACCTGTCATTTCCTCTTACCTCTGGGGAGGGGAACTGGGTGGCTGGGGGGACAGGAGAGTGAGGTGAAGGAGGCTTTTTCACTTGATATCCTTTTATAACTTGAATTTTGTACTGTTTATATGAATTGCTTAATTTAAAAAATATTTTGGGGTGGATGAATGACAAATAACTGAAGGGTCAAACTTTGTTGTTTTTATGGCGGCTTTATTGAGCTATATAACTCACTATACAATGCACCCATTTATGAAGTGTACAGTTCAATAGTTTTTAGCATATTGACAGAATTGTGCAGCCATCACCACACTCAATCTTACAACGTTTTCATCACCCCAGTAAGAAACCCCTTACTCAGTAGTAGTTACTCTCTGTTCCTACCCGTCCCCTAGTAACCACTAATCTACTTTCTGTCTCTGGATTTGCCTATTCCGGACATTTCATATAAATGGAATTATGTAACGTGTGAACTTTCGTGTCTGTCTTATTTCACTTAGCACAATGTTGTCGAGATTTACCATGTGGCATGTACAGATACTCCATTTTATGGGTATACCACACATTTTGTTCATCCATTGATGGATATTTGGGTTCTTTCTACTTTTTGGGTATGGTAAATCGTGCTGCAATGAACATTTGTATACAAGTTTTATATAAACGTATTTTTCTCCTAGATATATAACTAGGAGTGGAATTTCTGGGTCACATGGTAATTCTGTGTTTAAGATTCTGAGGACAAGAAAAAACTTGTTCTTAATAGAAAAAATATTATAAAGATTTGGTTCTCTCCTAAATTCATAAATTCAGTCCAATCTCAAACTGTCCTAATAGAATTCTTTTTTATCGGTATTAGGATTCTCAAGTTCTACATTTTTTTTTTCAACATTAACAGTTTTATAGCTGAAAAGTCACAAAGGTATTTGCATTTTGGGAAATTTAAATTTTTTAATCAACTATATGAATAGTACAGAAGAATAAATTTATTTTTGAGAAATTGCTACTCGGTGAGCCAAGTATAGATTTAAGATTGGCTAGCCAATCCATTTTTATGACCCTAAAGGAGTTTATTAGTGAGTCAGAAATTTTTTTTATTCATTAGGAGAGATGACAATTAATCCTCGTGCATTGTTGGTGGGATTGCAGATTGGTGCAGCCACTTATGGAAAACAGCCTGGAGCTTCCTCAAAAAATTAAAAATAGAACCCGCCTTATGAGTCAGCAATTCCACTTCTGAGTATTTATCTGAAGAAACCCAAAACGCTAATTCGAAAAGATGTGTACTCCTATGTTCACTGTAACATTTGCAATCGTTAAGGCATGGAGGCAACGTGGGCGTCCATCAGTGAATGATTGGATGAAGGCGTGGTACATATATACAATGGAATATTAGTAAGCCATAAAAAAATGAAATCTTGCCAGCTGCAGCAACATGGATGAACCTAGAGGGTATTATGCTAAGTGACATAATTTAGACGGAGAAAGATGAATACCACATGATTTCACGTATATGTGGAATCTAAAGAACAAGCAGACTTACAGATACAGAGAATAAATTGGTGGTTTCCACATGGGGAACTGGGTAAAAATGGTGAAGGGATTAAGAAGTACAGATTGGTAGTTACACAATAGTCACGGGATATGAAGTACAGCATAGGGAACAAATATAGTCAGTAATGTGATAGCTATAGTTATTATAGTGCCAGGTGGGTATAAAACTTATTCTGGGGAGGATCACTTCATAAATTATATAAATGCCTAACCACTGTGCTGCACACCCGAAACTAAAGTGGTATTAAATGTCAAATGTAATTGGAAAATAAAAAATAATTTAAAAGATAATATGCAATTCTACAAAATATTACCTAAATCCATTCTAAGAAATTCTACTGTGTGACTCTTGCAGGTAGCTACTCGCAAAGCATGCGGTTTGGCTCTGGCTAAGCTGGGCCATGCAAATGATAGAGTTGTTGTGCTGGACAGCGACAGCAAGATCTCCACCTTCTCTGAGATATTCAAGAAGGAGCACCCTGAGCGTTTCATCGAGTGTTTTATTGCTGAGCAAAACATGGTGCGTGTGCTGTGGGCCCCCCTCTTGGGTCTTTTCACTGATTAACAGTGGCCCACTGGACATAGAAGACCCAGCCCACCTTACAGTCTTTCTTTCCATTTATAAAAGCCAAGGAACCGGAAGGAAAAAAGTCTTCAGGGAAACAGGTAGAGAGTAGCCAGGCAGGGTCTGAGGGGTGGTTTCCAGGACTGCTGGAAGGAACGTTCCCTGGATACATGCTTTTGGGGATGGTGCTGAGCAAGAATTATCCCAGGAGCCACACACTATTCTTGGAAGCGGGAAAGGGAGGCTGTTAGGGGTGATAGGGCCAGGGTACAGGGATGTTCTGATTCACCTTCTTGGTGTTCCAGGTGAGCGTGGCCCTGGGATGCACCGACCGTGGTCGAACCATTGCTTTCGCTAGCACCTTTGCTGCCTATTTGACCCGAGCGTTTGATCAGATCCGGATGGGAGCCATGTTTCAAGCCAGCATCAACCTTATTGGGTCCCACGGCGGGGTATCCATTGGTATGAGTTTTCAGTGCCATCATATTGATAGCCTTTCTACTTTATAAAGATTATGTGAGCAGTTGAATTGCCAATGTACTTTGAGTTTCATAACGTTTGATCATTTGTAACTTTTTTTAAGCCATATTATGTTTTAAAAGTTTCAGATACTGTAGGTAGCATTTGAGCAGATCTCTTGATGTTACAGTAAAATGCCCACTCTTGTAGTCATCGAGAAACAGTGGTCTGTCCTGAGTACTTCTTAACGTGTCTAGCCACGTACTGAGTATGAATAGGGCCACCCAGCATTAGAGCATCCCTTTCTGCTCTTCGTGTAGTTGCTTTAGTCTAAATGGGGATAAGCAGAATGGGCGCAGGGAAGTGAAGAGCACAGCCTGCCAGGGATCTGCCTGGGTGGAGCGGTGCAGTTGGGTGGGATGGGAAGCCTTGAGAATCCTGTGGCCAGGGAGCGAGGCTGAGGAAAGACACAGCTCTCTAGGTGTTAACCTGGCAGGAAGAGCTGGGCAGAAACAGTGGGCACAGGGAAGCCAGAAGAGGGTTGAAATATGGTGTGCATTAGCAGTGGATAGAAAATAAGAGTGAATCTGAGAAAGTCTGAAGAAAGAAGTCACATTGCTGACAGGTGGGGGAGTCCGAAAAGGTGCCTGATGTGCCTATTGTGGGGTAGGAGCCCTAGGTAGATGTGATAGCTTAAATGGCTGCTAGAATGCTGGATAGGTAGGGAGGGCTGGCTGGAAGTGCACGTTTGGTAGTCATCTCTGAAACTCCCTGGGGGAACTAGACTGGCTAAGAAGTCTGGATAGGCCAGACACAGGCGGAGAGAGCTGTGTGAGGAGAGGGGAGGGCCTTGGCAGGAGTCTTCACCTGGGGCTGAGTATAGGGAAAGTTTCAAAATAAGTCAGCGAAGTGAAGAAGTGGTTCTAGGTCCAACTCAGAGGAACTGGGAGTTCTTAGGGTAGATAGTTGTCCCAGGCAAGGCAGTATACACAGTGATAGCCCCCTTCCTAGACGGAGGAGGTAGGCCCCTGGTGTACATTGGGCTTTCTCTTTCCACAGCATTTCTGGCCAGAAACTCTTCCCAAACACATACTAAGGCTCCCTTAGTTACAGCAGCTTCCCAAAGGTACTCCCAAGGTTTGTTATGCTTAGCTACTTTGAAGGCCTTGAGAAGTGAGTAAGATCTCTTCAATCTAAAAACCTCAGTCTCTTGATGGAGAAGATAAGAGAGCAGGGAAGTAAGGACAGAGACTGAAGGGATCCACCTAATGAAGACAGAGGCAGAAACTTGGTGGGGCCCAGTCGGCCAATGGTGCTCAAAGAGAAGAGCATCAAGTCATCTTGGACAGCAGTGCCCAGTGACCAAGCACCAGAGGTTGGCGAAGGTCAGGTCCAAGAAGAGACTGCTGGTTTGTTGATCTGGTAGGTCAATTAGGAGCTGAAACTGGAGTGTCCTAGTGCTGTCTCAAGGGAGATGGATGTGTGACAGGTCATCATAAGGCATTGTATCGACGTAAGTATTGGACAGTTTTATAGAGCTCTGCTACAGAAGTTTTGTGGCCCCTTCTGTCGCAGTAAGAGCTGTTATTTATCCAGCAGAGTGCTGGGGCCTAGCTTGGTCTTCCTCATGTTTTCGTTGGGCCACTGCTTTGTTTTCTCAGGTGAAGACAGCCCCTCCCAGATGGCCTTGGAGGATCTGGCCATGTTCCGAGCAATTCCCAACTGCACCGTTTTCTATCCAAGTGATGCCGTCTCGACCGAGTATGCTGTGTTCCTGGCAGCTAATACCAAGGTATTTTTAAGGGGACACTGATTCAGACAGAAAATGCTTCTGAGCTCTGCTACGAGTTTGGTACTGATGGTTGAAGTTTTCCCATCTTTCTCTCAGCATAAAGGTCACGTTATTCATTATAGAAAATTTGGTTATGGGATTCCTTTTAAAAATAGAATCATTACCCAAAAAAGGTGATGCATCCCGTTGAACATGAACACATTCAAAGACAAAGAGTGAGAGGGACACTGAAGCCCCATCCAATGGCCTGGAGTGAGGAGAACTTGGGGAGAACAGGGAACACTCTGGGGCTCTAAGGCAGAGACCCTTTGGCAGGGCTGCAAGAGTGCCCAGAAGTGAGCATCAAGTGCCAGCCTCAGATGCACCCTGTGCCACCACTGCCTCGTGGCACCCAGAAAGCTGAAGAGTGGCCAGTGTGTCTCCACTACAGATAAACCCCAGGGTCTCCAGCACAGCTCCACCTTCAGAAACAGCACAGAAGGGCAAGAGTGTGGCTTCTGCCTCGCTTGCCCCTCCTGAAGTCTCAGGCGAGGGCATCAGGTGACCACAGACTAATTCCTGCCCAGAAATGGGCAGGGGCAGCTAGGTATGCAGTCTTCGCCTTTGCAACCATTCTGTCGGTCACCAGACTCCCTTCACCACCCAGCCCTGCGCCTGCCCATGCCCCCTACACAGGCCACCCTGGGCACAGGGTGGGTCACAAATTCCATTCTAAGCATTTGCAACACAGTAGGGACCTGCTTCTCTGACCTTTGAAAAAAACCTAAGCGTGCTGACTGTGTTGTTGTATACTTGCTTGTTACTATATCCTGGAAATTGCTTTATGCCTGAATATCATACACAGAGTGATCCCACGTGCTGGAGGATTCCATTTCTAGGAAGTGCAAAAGAGGCAAAACAAAGCTGTGATGGCAAATCAGAATAGAGATTGCTGCTGGGGTGGGAAGAGTGACAAGAGAGCCACAAGGGGACCTTCTTGGCAGATGAATGATATCTAGGCTTTGGTGATGGTTACGTGGTGTATGCCTTTGTTAGAATTCATGAAACATTCCACTTAGGTAAATTTTACTTCAGTAAAAACACAGAATAGAATTGGTTCCTAACGTGGGAAGGAACGAACAGAAGATGTTACTAAGTTAATATGCTAGTTTATAATGCATGATTTAATGTATGTAAATTAACAAATACTTTAGACAGTATTCATTTATACTTCTGCTTACGTATTCAAGTTGATAAAAATTAATTACATCTCATTGGGAAAATATTGAGTCATTTTATATTCTGGTGTTTAAGGTATTTCTAAGGTTGAAGCATTACAAGCTACCGTAGGAAAAAGTAATTCTTTAACATCGCGTTCTGGGCTTTCTGGTCAACATGAGCTGGTGCTCCCGCCCTGGAATCCTGTTCAATGGAGACAGAACAGGTCACTGTGTATTTGAGAAAGCTTTTCTAAATTGGTGAACATGACAGCATGGAAAATTTGTCACTGAGGGCGTCCGCCAAGGTGCTGCATAGGCTTTCGCCTGGCTTAGTAGTAACTGGATCAGGTGACACCTGACCTGTTTGCCAGTGCTTGTAGGTGCTGGTCCCTTGCTCCAAAATGTGCACTTTGTTTTTAGTAAAAATAACTGTTCAGTCCTCCCTTCTCCCCCATTTCTAAAGGCTTATTAGATGCAAATTGAGCTTGATGTCTAAACTGTAGCTCTTCTTTTCTTTATACCCTAGGGGGTGTGCTACATTCGGACCAGCCGTCCAGAAACTGCTGTTATTTACAACCCACGAGAAAACTTTAGGATTGGACAGGCCAAGGTAAGACCTGAAATGCTGCAGTGTCTTCTAGTGTCGTTTCATGTGCAAAGAGCTGTTCTAAAGCCAGCACTAGGTATCCCCACAAAGCTGCATCCTTTCCTTGTTCTAGTCTTGGAAAAAAGTCTATCGTAACCTTTCCCTGCTTTTCCTCAGGAAGGAATGTCCTGCCAATATGAGGCTGAACTGAACATTTCTCCTTTCTGAGTAGAGTCTGTCTTTGTTGAATTCTCAGAGATAAAGCAGTAACGACATGAAGATATTTGAGTTAACTTACTACAGTCTCAAGCTAAACAAACAATAGGACCCATTTCAAAGGAATAATCTGTTAAGGTTCAGGTTTTGCCATATTCAAGGCCAGGAATAAAAGGGAACATGAACCATTTTGCTGCTGGCCATTGCATGGCCCCAGATAGTTTTCGCACATTGGATTTGGCCTTACCTACAGGCCTACTGATAACAGCTGGCATCTCTGGGCATTTCCTGTCTCCTGTGTTCTCACAAAAGCCCTAGAAGCATGAACTGTGAGCAGCTCTGTTTGTAGATGAGGGGCAGAGAAGGTGAGTAGCTTGCCCAGGGTTCAGTGAACAGCAAGACCAGCGTTCAAGCCCGGGCAGCATCCTGGCCTCTGCCTCCTGCTCAGGGCTGTTCCTGTGGAAAGCCAGCAGTCTGCGTAGAAAATAAGTACCCACCACCTAGTGAGCAGAGCTTGCTGGCGTTTAAATATATTTTCTTGCTTTTGCTTTTTTCTAGGCATCTGTGTATATTGTACACAGTTAAGATGATACTGCATAGGAAAGTGTTGTGCTCTCCTTTTATAAGCCTTTTAGAATGTCATTAATACTCCTAAATGTGCGAAAGGCTGATAGCCACTCTTGAAGGAGCAACAGGTGACATTTGACTTGATTGCTAAGGGCTAGGCTGCTCCAGAATGATTGTCCGAGCACTGAATGGTTTCAGTGCCGTAATAAAGTAGGTATATCCAGAACAGTCCATGGCCTGCCACTAGGTAGCTGGCCACCACTGAATGGAAGAGCTCCAGCATTCACTGTCGTGTTAACTATAGGTTTTGTTCTCTCTACTCTCACATTTCAACCCAAGGCTGTATGTTTGCTTCCGGAGTGCGTGTGGTGGGGAGTTCTTGATACTAGTCATATGGCTTTCAGAGCTTTCTTATATCTCTCCCATCCCCCACCCCTAGTACTTGCCCTGCCCTGACAAAATGAAGTAAATTTCCTGATGGTAAAGTATATGAGTTAAAATGTGTGTGATAATATGCATGGCATTGATAACTCAAGGGTTAAGTTTTGCAAAGGGGACATAGGACTGTGTGTGTGTGATGTGCACACATACGTGTTTATATGTACGTATATATGAAAAGATGACATTCTCAGAGAATAGGGTGGCTTAGAAGCCCTGAACATCCATACCGT